AAAAGGGAACCTTCTTGCACTGTTGGTGGGAATGTAAATTGATACAGCCACTATGGAGAACAGTATGAAGTTTCCTTAAAAATCTAAAAATAGAATTACCATATGACCCAGCAATCCCACTACTGGGCATGTACCCAGAGAAAACCATAATTCAAAAAGACACATGCACCCCAATGTTCATTGCTGTAATATTTACAATAGCCAGGTCATGGAAGCAACCAAAATGCCCATTAACAGATGAATGGATAAAGAAGATGTGGTACATATGCAATGGAATATTACTCAGCCATATAAAGGAACGAAATTGGGTCATTTTAGAGACGTGGATGAATCTAGAGACTGTCATACAGAGTGAAGTAAGTCCGAAAGAGAAAAACAAATATCATATATTAATGCATGTATGTGAAACCTAGAAAAATGGTACAGATGAACCGGTCTGCAGGGCGGAAATAGAGACACAGATGTAGAGAACAAACGTATGGACACCAAGGGGGGAAAGCAGTGGGGGTGTGGTGGTGGTGGTGGTGTGATGAATTGGGAGATTTTGATTGACATGTATACACTGATGTGTGTAAAATGGATGACTAATAAGAACCTGCTGTATAAAAAGTAAATAAAATAAAATTCAAAAAAAAAAAAAAGAACAGAATTCCTTGTAGAAATATCAGCAAGGTGATTTGCATCAGGTTCCAGTGATTCAAGTTTAGAATTCCCTGTAATCTTAGTAATGGTTGAAGCAGCAGGTAAAAGTATTTCATTCAGTAATTCCTGAACATTGGGGCCATTTTAATTTAATTTCCACTGGAAACTTCCAGTACATTCCAAAAATCATGAGCTACTCTAAAATCATATCTACTCTCAGTATCAATATTGGTAGTTCTGTCCTTGACGAAAGTACAAGCCCAAGTAAAAGCATCTAATTCAGCCCGTTGGACTGAGGTGGCCATAGGTAAAGATGCTGCCTGAACAACATCAAAAGGAGTTGCAATAGCATATGCAGCACAGTATTTGCCAGCATCACCTCTTAAGTAAGAACCATCAGTGCAGCATGTTCAGCATTACCCAAAGGCATTTCCTGTAGGTCATCATGAGGAGTCAGGAGGTGGTCTGTGAGCATTAAGCAGTCTTAAGTGACTTCATTGGTGACAGAGGGGAGAAGAGTAGCAGAGTTAAGGTTGTTACAACATAAAAGAGTTATGTGAGGAGCAGTTAACAAAAGGACTTCATAGAAGGTGAGGCAGCTGACTGATAAATATTGAGGTTGATGAGAATTCTGGAGAATTTCTACTGCATAAGGTAGAAAAATAGTTTAAGGGGATCCCACAAAAATTTTCTCAGTGGCTTTAACCAAAAGGGCAGTGGCCAAAATGGCTCTAAGGTAAGGGGTGTATCCCCATGCCACAGGGTCCAGTTGCTGGCTATAAAACCCTGTGGATCAGTGGTGGTCTCCATGTTTTGCAGTGAGTGTCCCAAGGGCATTCCTTTCCTTTTCATATACAAGGGCATTCCTTCCTTTTTCCTTTTGAAAAAGGAAAAAGGGAACCTAATAATTGGGATGCCCAAGGGCAGGTGGGTTCATCAAACTCTCCTTCAAGGCCTTACAAACTATGTTGTCCAATTCTTCCCATAAAATTGGGTTGGGGTTGTTACTGTTTAGTAAAACATACAGAGCTTTGGCCATAGCAGAGAAATTTGGAATCCAATTTCAGCAATAACCAACTAGCCCAAGAAAACCTTGCAGTTGGTACTTAGTTTGGGGTTTGGGGAAACTTAGGATGCCATGAAGCCTATCTGGATCTAGGTGTAGCCCTTGTTCTGATATCAGATGCCCTAAATATCAAACCTGGATTTGGGAAAACTGCAGTTTTTCTTAGGCGACCTTATGTCCCTTTAGGGCCAAAAGCTTTAGCAAGTGGATGCTGTCTTCCTGTGAGGAAGCTTGAGAAGGAGAGCAAAGAAGCAAATCATCCACATATTGCAACAAAGTAGAACATCTAGGGAACTTTATGTCATCCAGATCAGCCTTCAGGGTTTGTGAGAAGTAGAAAGGACTCTCAATAGAACAGTGAAGAATTACTGTCCAGGTGAATTGTTTTTCTTCCCAAGTGAAGGCAAAAAGGTATCTGCTAGCTTCATTAGCTGGAATGCTAAGGAATGCACTGCATAAATCAGTTACAGTAAAGAATTTACTTTCTTTGGGAATGGATGTTAGTAGAGTATGAGGGTTAAAAACAACAGGGTGTCGGACTTCCCTAGTGATCCAGTGGTTAAGACTCTGCACTTCCAATGCAGGCGGCACAGGTTCAATGTCTGGTTGGGGAAGTTCTGCACACTGCGCAGTGTGGGCAAAAAAACCCCAAAAAACAAAAAAACGTGGTGTTGAGGGATAACAATGTTGTTTATTGCCTAGAGGGCCTGCACAATCTAAACCCTCAGCCCTTGGGTTTTCTCACTGGTAAAATAATAATAGTATTACAGGGACTAGTACAAGGGATAATGAGGCCTTGAGCTTTGTAATCCTCTATTATAGGCTTTATGCCTTGAAGTGCTTTTTTACTTATAGGATATTGATTAATTCTAGGAAGAGGGTTTGAGGAATCTGTTTGAATCATGATGGACGGTGCACTATGAATTTTGCCAGTATCAGTTGGAGATTTTGCCCATATCAGTTGGTGATAGCTGATTCAAAAGGAACAAATGATCTGTGTTCTAGAATCAGCTTTAGTACTAAGAGACAGAACAAATAAAAGATGTCAAAGAGTCATATAATTCACCTGGTTGGTTACTTTGATGACTACTGTCAAATTCTAGAATTACTTCCCCCTTTGGGGAGAAAGAAATTCCAGTGTGACACTTCTCTAAGAAGTCTCAGCCTAATAAACAGTTAGGAACAGAGGAACGAAGGAGAAAAGGGTATGCAGCTCTCCAAGGGCCTAAGCAAAAGGGAATAGGTTCAGAAACAGGAACCTCTTGAGGTTCATTAGAGATCCCCATGATTTAAACCGTTTTAGTACTTTGAGGCAGGGGCTGCTTTATAGTAATGGTGTTGAGTACCAAGAGTGTGGTTCTGGTGTCAGTCAGGACTGGAAGAGATTCATCCCCAATATGGAGATATGTTTCTTTAAGCCAATGAAGAGGGAGGATTAGAAAGAGCCCCTGTAGTTCTTTAGAGCCCTGTCACTGATAACTGGAAGGACATTGGAGAGGCTGATTAGAAGCCTGAAGGTGCCTGAAGCACTTAACATTTGTAACACTCTCTTCTACAATGTCCATGCTCTTTACAATAATAGCAGAAAATATAAGGCTTTTGGTTTCATTTAGCAGTCTTCATTTGCTAGAGTTGAAGATTAATGATTTTTGTGGCCTTCCTTTTAGGTGGCTCATCTAGAGTGTGAGAAAGCTATTTGCCAGATTAACTAAATCTGGAGTAGATATAGTTTCCCATTCCATCCTGGTCCTTTTTACTAGAAAGGAAAGGTCTCAGTTCAGCCCAGTAATAAACCTAAAGTTAAAAGCTACCTGGATAGAATCAACATTTGAAGGAAGACCAGAATCTGAAGTCAATAGTAATAGTCATGAACAGGTTCAGATTGTGTGCAATCCTGAATTTTGTTCCAATCAACAAGCTTTGGAAAAGCCCTAGGAATTGCTTGATGAAGTCACCAAGCAATTGCCCAAGCCTGATATATAATAAGTAGTGGGTTGGTCTCCTGGTTATAATTTCTAGAGACCTTTCAGGATTTTCCCAATTAGTGGTTTTCATTGAATGCTGGGCCTGGCCTTCACCGACAAGCATATGAACTAGCTGATGTAAATAGGAGAAACCAGGTTGATAAGTTTGAATCATTATATTTAAATAGCTCAACAAATCTGTAAGGATCTTAAGTTATTTTGGGAAAATCTTGGACTATGGCTCGCAGTTCAGCTTTAGTCCAGAGAATATAAGAAAGTAAGAGTTTAGCCTCTAGATCCTCAGAAGGCTTAGTTTTAAAGGGACAGGCTCTGTAAGTTCAGAGGAAAAGGGAGTGGGGAGAGTTTCAGAGGAAAAGGGAAGTTTGGTGAGAGAATTAGTATAGGGAATCTGAGAGGACAGAGGAGGCGTAGGCAGCATAGAAAGAAAGGAAGAAGATGGTGCCAGAGGCGTTTCCTGAGAAAAAGAAACCAAGGAAGAGGAGCAGGAGGCCTTAGAAGCCATTTGATCTTTCTTTAATTTGACTCAGTTAAAGTCTTAATTTGTAGAGAGGCAATTTTAGCTTCCTGATAATATTTGGAAGGTTCAGAATATCAATCAAAATAGGCATTTCATTCAGTTCTGGAAATTTTAGAGCTATAGTGGTCCAATTCAGTTTTAAGAAAATTAAGTTTGGGAATTTCAAAAGTTCCCTATAATGGCTATTGATATTCTAAACTGCCTTCAGTTTGGTTGAGCCATTTAGTTAGAAATGTGCATGAGAAAGACCACAGTTTTTAAACATAAAATCAGCTGGAATCCCTGGGTTGGAGGGAACACCCTCAAAATATTTAGGTAACTGAGACCCCATCTCTCAGAGGTTTTTCTCTAGAGTAAAAGAACAGTTTTCAAACAGCTTAAACAGCCTACAGCTCAAACAGCTCAATTCAAACAACTTGCAACTGAAACAGCCTGCAGGCCTAATACCAGCCAGTTCTAAGGGAACAGCTTGGTCCTGGAGGGACCAGGCTGAAGACGTCTTAGCCAGTTCCCACAAAATAGCTGCTTTTCCAAAGGAATGGGCTTCTCAGCTAGTTTCAGTTGAAAGAGTCTGATCTCAAAATCAGACCAAGTGCCAAACGAGTACTTGCATACAGACAAGGCCTTAATCAGAAAGGACAAAACCCTAAAATAGATCCTGAACAAAGCCTGGAGAGCTTCAAAAGCAAAGAGGGGCATAAGCTTGGATCCAGAAGAAAGACATACCTTTAAATTCCAGGGTCAGCGAAAAAAGCAGTGAACCCAGTAGGCTCAATTGTGGGTACCATACCTGCTCACTCACCAGCTCCCAAGCTGTCAGGGGTCTACTCTGGTCCCTGTACAGGCCACCAAAATGTTACCAAAAACAAATAGACTGCCAGTTATTTCTCCAGCAAAAAAATGGGTTTGTTCAGGGTCAGCAAAGAATTGCAACTTCGAGTCTACAACCATGGTGAGCTATGTGCCAGTCCCCACACAGCAAAGGAAGGAGAGCGCTCTAATACAAAGGAAAAGGAAGCTGGGAGGGCTGTAGTAAATCAAGGGTGCTTGGCTTTTCATTGGCTGAGACTTTGCCAGGAAAGAAAAGGAGTTTTTCTTCTTCCTGTTGGACTCTGCTATAGTCACAGGGCATGAGAGCTCCTCCTTCTGGTCTCCCAACTCTATTTAATTGAGGTTTCTGTTTATTAGTTTTCTTACACGTATCGATGTTATCTTAGAGATTTTCATCTTTTTCTATTTCCCAGAAAAAAATTTAAGAGCATTGGAATAATCTATTCCTCAATGATGTAGTAGAATTACCTGTGAATTCATCTGGTCCTCGTGCTTTCTTGCTGTCTGGTTGTTTGCAGGATGTTACTTCTTTAAAAACTTTACTATTTTTTTAAACGACAATTTGTTTGTGTAGATATTTTGTTGTCTTCTAGAGACATTTTAAGTAACTTTTATTTTTAGAAAATTATATATTTACTAGGGTTTCAAATTTATTTGCATACTTTTGAGAAAGGTAATCTCTATGTTTCTTTTAACTTCCCTTGTATTTGCAGTTATTGTCCCCCTTTATAATTTTTTATTTTCTTATTTTATATATTTGTGTTTTTCCTTAAGTACATTATTTCTTCCTTCAAGGGACTAGCTCTTAGATGTAATATACTCTGTTCTTTTTTTGGTTGTTTTTGGTTAAGAAATTTCTGCTTTTATTTTGATTAATTTCTACTTTCCACTTTCTTTAGGCTTATTATTATCCCTATTATCATTCAGTTCTTTTTATTAACCCCTTGAGTTGGATGTTACTTTTTTCATTTTTAGCCTTTTTTTGTTTATCATTCTACCTATGTAAGGCTATGAATTTTTCTCTGAGCAGTGCTTTAATTGCACGCTATAGTTTCTGGTGTGTAATTATTTCTAAATTTGTTTTTGGCACAGAATTGAGTTAATCATTGTCTTGATTCATGGCACACTCTCATCATTGGTCAATGCACAGTCTTTTATTTACTTATGTGTTTATTCTGTTAACTTTTTTAAAGTTATAATTTTTATAATTATGGACCCACCATCCAACATGGTCTTGACAATAGCCGATATCTACCTACATGGTCCTTCCCATCCCCTTTCACTGCCTCCTCCTCCCCCAGCTCAATCAGAGATAAGCATCATTCTCAATTCTTTGTTTTTCATTCCCTTGCTTTTCTTCTTGTGTAGTTTTATGATGTCTATCTATTCCCATATATATTCTTAAAATATATTTTATTGCAGATTTAAATTTTTTTCATTATTTTCTAAATATTCTGTCATTTTGATATTGATTCTCTTTGACCCAAGAGTTGTTTAAAAAGAGTTTTGTTTTCTCTTTATTTTTCAGGTCTTAGGGTATTTTGTTTGTTTTGCTATCTCGATTTTTTAAGATTCTAGTTTTATAGAATCATGAGCAGAGAATGTTTTCTGCACTACTTTTACATTGTGGAATTTATTGATTTTTTCTTTGGCTTAAAATATGGTCAATTGTGAATGCCACACAACTCATGTAGAAACAGCATACTGTCTATGGCTAGTATAGGTTTTGATACATATCAGTCAGATCTACCTCACTAATTATGTTATTTAGATCTTCTATATCATACTTTTTTTGTTTCCACTTAATCTGTCATGGGGGCAGAATTAAAACTTCCTGTTACCGAAGTATTTATTTTTCACCATATCTTACATTTTTTTTTTTTTTTGCTTCAGGTTGTTGGTTCTCTGCTAGTTGGTATTCTAACTTTTTGGAAATCATACTGTTAAAACATTATAAAGTACCATTCCTTGACTTCCTTAAGCTTTCCTTTTTTTAATATTAAGGTTATGGCCCATTGCATTTACCAGTATTACTCTGCCCACCCTTTTATTCTCAGTTGTTCTGATTCCTTCGTTTTAGGTAGGTCTCTATATAGCCTATAGTTGAATTTTGCTTTGTAATCCAGTTTAAAAGTCTTTTCCTCATCTTTGACTTCTGTTATGTGTTGAATTATGTTGCCCAAAATGTGTATGTTGAGGTCCTAACCCCCAGTTCCTCAGAAAGTGATCTTATTTGGCAACCAGGTCATTGAAAATGTAATTAGTGGGACTTCCCCAGTGACACAATGGTTAAGAATCCGCCAGCCAATGCAGGGGACACGGGTTCAAGCCCTCGTCCAGGAAGATCCCACATGCCGTGGAGCAACTAAGCCTGTGCGCCACAACTACTGAGCCTGCGCTCTGGAGCCCATGAGCCACTACTATTGAAGCCTGTGCACCTAGAGCCCATGCTCTGCAACAAGAGAAGCCACTGCAGTGAGAAGCCCACGCACCACAACAAAGAGCAGCTCCTGCTCTCCGCAACTAGAGAAAGCCCGCACGCAGCAATGAAGACCCAACGCAGCCAAAAATAAATAAATATGTAATTAGTTAAGATGAGATCATACTGGAAGGTGAGCCCCTGATCCAACATGACTGGTATCCTTATGAAAGGGGAAAATGTGAACACAGATACATAGGGATAATGCCACGTGAAGACTGGAGTTATGTTGCCACAAGCCAAGGAACTACCAAAAACTAGGAGGAAGACCTGGAATAGATCCTTCTCTAGAGCCTTCAGAGGGAGCATGGCCCTACTAACACTTATCTCAGACTTCTAGCCTCCATAATTATAAGACAATAAATTTCTGTTGATTGAGCCACTCAGTTTATGGTACTTTGTTACAGCAGCCTTGGCAAATTAATACAACTTCCTTGTAAATATAAGTTGATTCTCATCATTAGAATTTTATATCAATTTAAAAACTCTTTCTTATGCCTTCATAAGTAAAAATTCTTGGCAAATTGCTGAGGACCAGATATTGTAAGTGTTAACAGGATCTATAGGTGACCCCCTAAAATGTTCTAAATCTCTACAACCCTAAGAAAAACCAGAGTAGCTTATACCTGTTCTAACACTGGCATCCTCCAAAAATCTCAAGTAAGCTAGCTAAAAGCCAGCCAGCTGAGCATAACACCTCCTTTTCCTTTTTTTTTTTTTTTTGATGTTGGGGGTAGGAGTTTAGTAATTTGTTTATTTATTTTTGCTGTTTTGGGTCTTCGTTTCTGTGTGAGGGCTTTCTCTAGTTGTGGCAAGCAGGGGCCACTCTAAATCGCAGTGCGCGGGCCTCTCACTGTCGTGGCCTCTCTTGTTGCGGAGCACAGGCTCCAGACGCGCAGGCTCAGTAGTTGTGGCTCACAGGCCTAGTTGCTCCGCGGCATGTGGGATCCTCCCAGACCAGGGCTCGAAACCCATGTCCCCTGCATTAGCAGGCAGATTCTCACCCACTGCGCCACCAGGGAAACCCAACACCTCCTTTTCTTTTCAGGATTGTGAGACTTAATGTGAATCAAAGAATTGAAACCAGTAAGAGTCTCTCCAGCAAAAGAAAGGTAAACCTAGACTTCCTGTTACCTGACCCAGAGATACTGGGACTTGCCTGGCCATTTGTAAAAATGAAGCAACTTCTACTTCCTCCAGTAAGGGTAACTCTCTTGCCTAACTAGAAAAGGCTATGAATAAAATGAAGGTGCCCAAAGACCCTAATTGAGATAAGATCTAGATTGTTCTCATCTCGAGCATTAATTTGTAATTTAACTGTCTATGCTCTTACTGTCAACCAACAGGTTTGTTTTTTCTTTAAACTTTGATTACCAATATTTACTGCAATTTATTAAGCAGAGCTAGAGGACAGATGCAGCAGACTGGGTGGGCTCTGTAGTTAAGGATGGCTTGGTGCTACACCCCAGAGGTACCCTGGATAAGGGCCTCCGAGAGACCACACAAGGATCCAAAGTGGCCTTATATATCCTTTCCTTCCTCCATCCCTTCCCTTCATGCTTCCACTTCTTCCCACCCAAGCCCAATTGCCATGGAGAAGAATACCAGATATATAATTTGAGGACTATGAACAGTGGCAATACTTTCAAGACAAAAATATGAACATCTAGTCCATACTTAGTATCAGGAATTTGGATAGTTCCTAAACTCTGGCAGGAATGACCTCTGTTGAAAGAGAGGTAATGAGCGAACTGGAGATCAGAATTCCTCTATGTGAACATATGTAGCTCACATCTTACCTAAATATGCCTTCCAAAGGGGAGAACAAAAACATTGCATGCTGGTTATAAACTTTACCATTGGAAAGAATAAAATATAGTTCAAAGGAAAAATAAGCAAAAAAAATTTTTTTACTTGATCCTGTATAAGCACTTATGTCAATATTTTTAAAATAAGCTTTATTTTTTATTAGATCAATTTTAGGTTCACAACAAAATTGAGTGGCAAGGACAGAGAGTTCCCATATACCCCCTTTCCTCACACATGTACAGTCTTCCCCAATATTGACATCCTGCACCCCAGTGGTACAGTTGATGAACCCACACTGACACATCATCACCTAAAGTATGTAGTTAACGTTAGAGTCCATTCTTGATGTTGTCCATTCTACAGGCTTTGACAAGTGTAGTATACAAAATAGTTTCTGCCCTAAAAATTCTCTGGGTTTGCCTACTTATCCCTCTCTTCCCCTAACCCCTGGCAACCACTTAACTTTTTACTGTCTCCATAATCTTACCTTTTCCAAAATGTCATGTAGTTGTAGTCACACAGTTTATAGCCTTCTTTAAATTGTTTCTTTCACTTAGAAATATTCATTTAAGTTTCCTCCATATCTTTACATGACATGACAGCTCATTTCTTTTTAGTGCTGAATAATATTCCTTTATCTAGGTTACCACAGTTTACTTATCCATTCACCTAATGAAGAATATCTTGGTTGTTTCCAAGTTTTGATAATTATTAATAGAGCTGCTGTAAACATCTGTGTGCAGGTTTTGTGTGGACATAAGTTTTCAACTCCTTTGTGTAAATACTAAGGAGAACAATTGCTGGATGCTGTGGTAAGAGTATGTTTA